AAAATCCCAACAGTGGGGGGGTCTGTCGGGGGATGGGGCTCCCTCCGGCCGCCAGGGGTCACATACTGATGCGTGCTCACGCGCCTTTAATTCCGCTGTAAATGTTTTCCTTGCGTGATGAAAGTAATGTTTGTTGTGCGACGGGCGTTCACATGGTGTGGGGAGGGCAGTGCTTCCTCCGCGGCCCTCCTGGGTAGGGGGGAGACATCCCGTGGAGCTGGGTGGAAGGCATGGTTCGGCCCGTGTAAGGCGAAAAGGCTGTCTGGGCAGGAACGTGAGTCCTGTTCTGTGCTCATCTGGGGTGGTGTGTGTCTCTGCGGCCTTTTTTTGGCACAGCTGTGCGAGTCAGGGCTGTGGAGCAGGATCCATGATCAAAGCAGCTGTGCCAATAAAGTCTCTGGTGTAGATCCAGTCTTGCCAGCATGTTGTGTTTTGTTTGGAGAAGCTGCTCTCTGTACTAAACTCCATCCGGTGAATTGCTGCAGGCATATAGAGCTTGCCTGTGACTTCGGCGGCAGGCAAATACCAGAAGGAAAACCACGGGAAGCACTTCCACCCAGGGATTCATGCACAGTGTGGTTTGGGTGGATGCTGCGCAGTTCCTGTTGAACCTCTTGTCAGCTAGTCTTTATTTACTTTTGTCCCGAATTTATTTTTGTCCAGCAAAAATAGACATGGTTTGATTAATAAGCTCTTTGTTAATATTGCCGTTTGTTAGCATGACAAATTGACTTACTTTAAAGCACAAATTCATAAATAAATAAATTTAGCCTTAAAAAAAATGGCGGTAGTTAATAGTCCTGTGAGGCATACTTGTAGAAAATATCTGTCAGGACAAGTTTTTGAACGTGAAATTGAATTTTTTTTAAAAAATCAAGCTAATTAATGACCATTCCCCTTAATGTTCCAAAACATTGAAAGACTGAGGACAGGAGAAGCACACAATGTCCCAAGCAGGCTTTAATCAGGTAGAATAAAAAAATTGAAAAGTAAAGCTGGACACTTTCTTTGTTTTTCTTTTTAATTAATTTGTTAGAGGATTTTTTGGCTTTTGTACACAAGTGGTTTTGGTTTAGAGAAGTTGTTGTGACTTGGAAGAAAAATTCATTTCTCAAGCAAGTACCTTTCTTGTCAGACTAGCGTGTTGTGTCTGCATCTTATCTCTGACCTTCAGTGGGATATTGGGGCAGGTACTTTCAAATCTTGGCAGCTGGCAGGAAGGAAGGAGAGGGTAACATTCCCAAAATAAGTTAGCTCGTTCATTTTGGCAGGAAAATGGGAAAGGAAGAGAGAAAAAAAACAGGGGAAAACAAGGCATAAGGGTGGAAAGGAAAGACGTAGACAAGCTAGAAAAACAAGGAGTGGCTTTTCAGATTTGATTACTTGGAGATAATCATCAAGGTCCTGACCTGCACGACTGAGGTCTGATTTTTCTGTTCAGAAATGACTGAGAGTTCTGCTCTTGTGGTGTTCTGTAATTTTACTGTCACTCATGGGTGATAGAGGAATAATGTGCATTAAAGATGCTTCTTGGAGGTGAAATACATGTCACTGATAGTTTATTTGACTGTTTAATTTCTTTTACCTTCCCTCTGCACCTCCTTAAAAATCAGAATTATGCTGTTGTAGATTTTGTCATAGCACCATCTGAGTAGAATCAAACATCTTTTTGTGTTTGGTATGCAAGTTTATGTAAGTTTTGCAGTAAGTATTTGAAAGGTTAGGAAATGAGAAGGTCAGAAATTTTCCAGTAAAAAAAAAAAAAATTACTGCTTAGGTCAGGCCTCTTCTGGTAGGGCCAGTATCTGATTCAAAGGGTTACGTCTGAATTATACCATGTGCAGGACAAGCTGCAAAATAAATGAAACAGATTCATAGAATGAGTAAAAACAGGGAATATTGTTAATGTTGGCTGTATGCACACAATACCTTTTAGCTGTTTATTAAAATAAAGCGCTTTTTTTTCATAATTGTTATCAGATGGCTTTTTATGCATTACACTAAAGGAACCTGTAGGATGACAGGCTTACTGTTTCACAGGAAAATATTAGACTGGTTTCAGCTATTGTTAGTATTTTTCTGATGTGGTGCATGATAACTGGTGGACATGCATGTGGTAGACTTCTCAGATTTTCTTTCTTACTAAGCTGTGTTTTCTGCTCTTTTGTGAGGCACTCATGATTACTTTTTCAATGACACTTCATTAAAGTACAAGGTAATCATGTTATAGTAGGTTTAATTCATCATCATCTGAAAAAAACAATAACCAAGTTTCTAAAGACTGGGTAGCCTTGTTTTCCAGATTGTAGAGGCAGTGGTTGTGTACAATAATCACACAGTTCTCTGACTGCTGAAGATGGTTTTAAATATTTCTTTTGATATAAACCTTACAGTATTGGCATTTGGGGAAATGAAACTGCAGTGAAATTTACTAGTAGAGGCAGCTTTTTCTTTCCATTTACAACACAGTTAAGGATGTTAGCAGTCAAATGTGAGACTGTATGTAGAGTTGAGATAGCAAGGGATATGAAGGGCAGTGAAAAAGGCTTCTGTGGACATGCCAGGGGTGAAAGGGAGAACGTGGGCCTGATGCCAGATGTCATGGGAGACCTGATGTCAGAAGGTCAAGAACGACATCTTCTTTGCCTTGATCTTTATTTGCAAGACCTGTTTCCAGGTTCCTCGTGTCCCTGGGCCTAGCTACACACATATGATGGAGTAAGGTACTTCTTTGTCTACAGCAGAGGAAGAGCAAATGAGGTGCAGGCCAGCCCTGTGAGCCAGCCACACACAAGTCAGTGAGACTGGATGGGAAGCGTCAGGGGAAGCTGTGAGGGTGGTCTCCAAAAGGCAGTGGATTTGGTGGCGAGAGGGCTCCCAATACTGGAAAAAAGAAAATGTCACACCTGACTTCAGGCAGGAGCATGTGGGGGAACTACAGGCTGGTCAGCTTAACCTTAGCCTTCAGGAAGATTGTGGAGCAGATCTTCCTGACAATCATGTCCTAGCACTTAAAAGGCAAGAAGGTGACTGGGAATAGCCAGGATGGATTAACCAAAGGCAAATGTTGCCTGACCTGTCTGATTGCCTTCTGTGATGGGATGTGTGGCTCAGGGTACCAAGTGAATGTTGTTTACCTTGGCTTGAGTGGTGGTGCAGGAGATGACCCCAGACTCTTGGAGGCAAGGGGCACAGCCTGTGACAAGGGAAGTTCAAATCGTGTGTGAGGAACAATTCCTTTACAGCAAGAGTGGTCGCTGGAACAGGTTCCTGAGAAGCGTCAGGGAGTCTCCATCATTCAAGATATTAGAAACTGAAGTGGCCACGGCTCCAGGCAGCCTCATCTGACTTCAGAGTTGGTTGTGCTTTCTGCAGGGGTTGTACTAGCTCATCTGTAGAGGTCCCTTTGAAGCTAAATTATGCTGTGATTCTCAACAGGTCATGGAGGATTTAGGGTTTTGGTAATGAAGTAGCCTGTCAAATGCAACTTTAAAAAGTTTATGTCTATCCAGATTTTTAACCTCTGTCTCTTTAAAGTCAGATACTTTGGAGCATCCTAACATGGTGTGGGAAGTGAAGACAAATCAAATGCCTAATGCAGTTCAGAAACTCCTGCTGGTAGTGGACAAGAGAACTTCAGGGATGAATGAGTCACTAGAGTTGCTGAAGTGTAATGAAAATTTGCCCTCTTCTCCTGGATATGCATCCTGTGATGAACACATGGAACTTGGTAAATAACATGACTTTTTGAGAAGCAACCAAATTCTGAAGTTTGTTGCAGTTTTCCTATATGTGAAATTACTGGAAGCTGACTGAATGAGATTACTGATTTTTAACTTAAGTAGGGCAGGGAATATGACAGCAAATTGTGACATCTGAAGGTCCAATTTTACAGTGACTTTTCCCTTTAACCCATTTCCTGTTCTGACATGCTGGCCTGTTGACTTAAATGTGTTCTTGAACTCAAGAGCTACAAGTTTCTGCTCCTGATCTCCAGTGGAGTGTTTTTTGGCACAAGAATAACAGAAAGCTCAAGAGCTCCTCCTAAAGGAAAATTATGCTGCTTTAGATCAGCTGCAAATAGAGATTCCAGGCTAGAGGAACACGTAACTTCAGCTCTTATATAGTGGAGAAGAATAGCGTGTACGTTAGAAAGTATTGATGTAATCAATTAAATATTAGCACATTTAATTGAAGTCATGGAGCAATTAGAATAACAGTAATTAGTTACATGATAGCACGTAACAGACTGTTTTTAAGAAGCTGGGCTCTCTTCTGCTATTCAACATAACGTGAAACATGCAGTTTATTGATGGGAATTCACCAGGCTGTATAGCTAGCGTTCATGACTTCTGGGTTATTTAATTCCAGTTCCCTGGTGGAAACATGGAAAACTTTTACCCTGTACAGCCCCTGATGTTGATAATTTTTAGTCACACCTGCCAGGGCAGATTAATTTAGTTGTCTTTTGTTTAATGTTTTAATACTTTAATAAAGCATGTTGCTACTTTTGCATAATTCTGCAGTACAGTTCTGTGTAAACTAGTCAGTATAGTAAAAGCTTTAAAACCAGAACTAAATTTTTATCTAGTTACTTAACGTTTTTTTAAAATTGCTTGTATGAATGTGTAATAGACTAGAGATGTGATTATTCCTGTGGCCATTTTGTCGATACTGTGAATACAGTTTGTGAAGGTTTGGTAATTGTGATACGAGAAAATAGTTACTTCATTGTGGTTCTTCTTTGACTTTTATTTGCAAGATTTGGTGTCAGCTAGAATGAGCATAATTATGTTAACTTGTGCATTTGTTTGTAGATGATCTTCCTGAACTACAGGCTGTGCAGACGGATTCTACCCCACCTGCACTTTTTCAGCTTGGTGCTGATGTTTCACATCAGGAATGTTCAAGATCTTCATGGAACCAACATACCTCAAACAGCAATTCAGAAAATGCTTATTCTTGTGAGAATGGGGTGAACTGGTTGACAGAATTAGCAAATATAGCCACAAGTCCTCAAAGTCCTTTGATGCAGTGCTCCTTTTATAACAGGTACTGATACTCATTTCAGTTTTAAACGCTTGTAATATTGTCTTCAGAAACATTTCCTTCACTCTTCACACTGTCTTGACTTTGAACTGGAGCCCTATTTTTGATCTTTCTATACAGTAATTTTATTCTGTGCAAGATTGCATAGGACTCATTTCAGAGCCTGTTGCAAAAGCTGCTTAATTGCAGCCATGAATGAGGTAGGATGGTACAAGGACATTGCCTAACCACAGAAGGCTCAGAAATTGTGGACGTTTACCTCACGCGAAGCAGCAGATGAAAAATTAAGATGAACTTGTTATGATAAATTCTTACTAGTGCACTGACTTTAGAGTTTTTTTTTTAAAAAAAGGGTTTATTTGAAATCTAATGTAATTTTAATTTTTATTGATCATTTCATATTTGTGGTCTGTAAATTCCATAAGGCTGTGAGAGAAGCAGTGCAGGATATTAGAATTTTCTGGTCTTCATTTTATTGTATGGCTTTGGTCTTAGGTTTATAGTAAGAAAATTAAATGCTATACTGTAAACAGTAATGCAGTTGAGATTTAATCATTACAACAGAGTGCATGTCTTAAGAACAGCGTATTAACTCGATACGTCTAAAAACTTGAGCATTGTGACAAGGATATGCTGATGTGAAGGTAGTACTGTCATTTGAGTGGTATATAGAAGCTGTGCAGGAGTTATGCTAACTGCTCCCTTTGCCTGAGCTTGCACCCTTTAATCATCCCATTTGAATATTGATGTGTGGGAAGTTTATTCAGTATTCAGTTCATGCAAACATATTTGTTAAATGCATTTTAGAGTAATAGCAGCTGTCTTGTGTTGTCTTAATCTGAGATATTTTAATAAACATTCTTCTTCTGTAGATCATCTCCTGTTCACATAATAGCTACAAGCAAAAGTTTACATTCCTATGCACGTCCTCCACCAGGATCCTCACAGAATGATCCTAACTTCTCTAAGAACGATTTGGATGAAGCACCAGTCCGACATGAAAGGGTGAGTTGTTCTGAAACGTTTCTAAAATAAATAAAGATGCATGAGTAATGAGTTAAGATTCTTGAGAAGATAAACTAGTTTTTAAAAGATCAGCTATTTATTTGTAAGACGATTTCTATTCAAGCTAGATTTTGTTACTTTTTACCAAACACAGTAGGCTTGTACTGCTACGTCAGAGTCCACATTTTTGTAAAGAGATCACATTCTAAGCAAGCTCAGGTTCTCTTGTAGTTCCTTCTGTAGCAAGCTTTAAAAAACTTTGTTTGCTGTCTCAGAAAGGAAATACAGAGCCGTCTCCTTTTAGACGCGCAAAACCTGTCATTCCTGCTTCTTCCTTTCCTGTGTATTAATTTGTCTGAAACTTGTCTGTTAAAAATACAGTTTTTCCCAAGTGATTTTTCTAGAACTGACTTGGCCCTACAGCTTTCCAGTAATTTGACCATAGAGTAACGTGTGCTTTGAGTGGTTCTGTGGATGATCAAGGACTGATAGCTTGTAAAATGCTTGTACCTAAGCATAAGATAATCCATAAGTGTGAAATGAATCTCAGAGAATGAAACTCAAAAATTATAGGATGGCACATTTCAAGAAAAGGAGAAGATAATACTCCATTCATATTTACTGCATTCCTTGAATCTTTGTCTTCCTGTTACATTCCTTTTAGTATTTAAGGCAAAATGATGACACTGATGCAAATGAGAGAATGTATCTAAAGACACATAAGACCAGTCCTAAAACCTTCCACAGTAATAACACCATCATTCTGCTTTTTTTTACAGGCGAATAGTGAATCAGAATCTGGCATTTTCTGCATGTCATCACTTTCAGATGATGATGATTTAGGATGGTGCCATTCCTGGCCTTCAACTGTTTGGCATTGTTTTCTAAAAGGTAAAATAACGTGTATCATGGAATCACTGTTTTATCTTTTTTTTTTTTTTTTTGTAACATAGACTTCGTTATATAACACTAATCTTCTTTTCTTTGAAAAATATCTATTAGGCTCTCGTTTGTGCTTTCATAAAGGACGCAATAAAGAGTGGCAGGATGTTGAGGATTTTGCACAATCTGAAAGCTGCGGAAAAGAGGAAAATCTCCCAGTGAGTCCTTATAAGGTAGCTGTTAGTTCTAATAAATTCATTTCAATACCTGTAGCAAATACTTAGTTTCTTATGTTATTCCTGTGCCTTTAATTATTGTTGCAGGAAGACAGGTTTATATTGAACATGTCTAGAGCTGATCACTGTACTATTTGTCTTTATAGAAAGTAATTGAATTAATTTAGGTATGTTTTGAATATTATATCATCTTCACAAATTTCTAGTGAGAGCATTTAGAACGTTGGTATTTTTTAATGTACTGTAAGCTGATGTGTATGCTATAGGTGTATATTCAAGTGTATACTTTTCTTGGAAAAATTTTGAACTGTTTATATGTTTACAGGGCTATGGTTCCGATGGTTTGAAGTTGATTTCTCATGAAGAAAGCATTTCCTTTGGTGAGTCAGTGCTGAAGCTGACTTTTGATCCTGGCACAGTGGAAGATGGCTTGCTTACAGTAGAGTGCAGACTCGATCATCCTTTTTATGTTAAAAATAAAGGTATGAAATACTACAAGCATAGTTGGTTGTGTATTAAAATTATTCTTAGAAAGTGGTTGCAGATTTTATTGGTGTCCCATGTTGCATAAAAAATTGATAAAAGCAGTATTATAGAATCAATTTGCTATCTTTGTAAGGAAATACAGAATTTGAACAAACAAAACTGTAGAGCTATAAAGCTACAGAAATACTGCATATCTCTAGGAAAGATTTGATCCAAGTATATAAATGGAGCTCAGGAAAGCAGAATAAATGGGGGGAGAAAGGAAAGCTGCAAATAAGGGAGGCTTTTCTCCCTTGCTAAACATGCAACTTCTGATGATAAAAGTTTCCAGGTTTTGGTTACTTTTTCTGCTAGAATGAGATTTTACTTGAGATGAAAATAAACTGTTTGCAGTAAGAATTCCCTGAGTAAGTAAGTGTTTCTGATTTTTCTTCTGGGTGAAAGAAACTACATCATATCATTTTTATAAAATTATATCATTTAGAGATATAGGATTGCTCCAATTAACAACTAGAGAGATTTGTCTGGCCGTTTGTCTAATTTAACTCTTTACCACTTCAGGTTGGTCATCTTTTTATCCAAGCTTGACTGTGGTACAGCATGGCATTCCATGCTGTGAAATGCATCTTGGAGATCTGTGTCTACCTCCTGGACACCCTGATGCCATTAACTTTGATGATTCAGGTGTTTTTGATACATTTAAAAGGTAATTTTTGGATAAAGTGGCCTCAGTGGTTCTTGTATGTAATGAGTAGGCACCTTAAGTCTACAAGAATTTGAAGCGTTACGTAGAGCAAAGAGAGAATACTTTTGGTAATATAAGATAAATGAAAGGAGAAAAATGAAGACTGAATGCTAGGAAGGCTGTGTAATTATGTGCTCTGCTAAACTGCAAAGTAATACCTTGGAGTGAAATAACTTTTCAGCCCCTTTTTATGATGGTTCAAGCCAGATTAGATAAAGGTGTGAAAACATGTGTGTATATATAATCTGTATAAATTCTTCAGGTAAGATGGGTTTGAAAAATCTAGTACAGTTTCCCCACAATAGTATGTCTGCCAGCTGTCACTTTGTGTTTCATATGCAGCTGTGTATCTGAATAAGTAGTTTCTTAGTAATAAATGCATGTACTATGGCACACTTTCATAATCAGTTCTTACTATTTTTGTGTATTCTGCTTTTTGTGGTTCTTTTCTAATATATCAAACTTACTTAACTTCAGAGTTTGGTTAACTTAGAGGTTTGCCTTGCTTTGAGCAAGATAACCAGATAACCTTCAGAGGTTGTCCAATGTAAATTCTAAGTTTCTAAGGAAATAGTATTACTCATAAAGATTTTTTCCATACTATTTTGAGATTCCTAGGTTTAGTAGAATCCATCTTTTCCTATGATGTTAGCTCCTTTTTAGCTTCTGTTTTTAGTCCAGTTGCTTTTTGGTTTTTTACAGTAGAAAAATTTAAGATGATGTTTGTAGTTGAAGTCCCAGGAGCTCTTGTATGATTTCACTCTGGCATAGAGAGTGAGTTCAAATAGCTTGTCTTCACTCATTTGCTGTCTGGGGTTTCTTCATATTAGCTCCTGTTCTGAAGTGCATATGTAGAGAGCTGTTAAAATCATTATACTTGTATCACTGAAGAAATTCATTCTGCAGCCTAGCTGGATACTGCCTGGACTCTTGAAATTCCTTGTCTCTCTGGGCAGAAGGGAGTAAGTCACTGAGAAAGGAGCGTACAGTAGCAGCTGTGGTTAACAGAACAGAAGAATTAAAAACAAAATCCTGTTCCTGTGTTATGGGAAGGAGATTAGGAATAGGAAGGGTGCTGGGCTGTTTGTAGAACAGAGAGGTCCTTTCTCATTATCTTGTGAACTTGTCTGCAAGGTTGTTGGCATTGTCCCTTCTTTGTTGCTTTTTACTTTTCTAAGGGATTTTGGAGGCAACCCTTCAGGCTCAGCCCTTGCTTTTGGTTTCGTCTCACAGAAAGGAGCTGCTTTTGCAGATGGGGCTGGACTACCACTTGCAGTATTTCTTTGCTAGTAATTCTACTATGTGTTTGGAAAAAAAGCTCCTCAGAGGCCTTATTTTTGCCATAAATTATGCAACTATAGCCACGCTGAGCAGTGAGTGAGCGGAACTTTAAGAGTTATATACATTTTTATGTTGATTTTGTGGTAGTAACTTAGTGTTTTAGATTTATGATCGTATACTGCCTTTACAAGTGTGTTTTCCCCATATAGCATGCCAAAGACTGTGGTTCCCAGACTGATCTGCACACACCTGGAGATGATAACAAATAGTCTGTGGAGTTAAACTTGTGTAGTGTTTGGAGATTAATTGTAGTTGTTGGTCAGAAAAAAATTACAACAGTTCATAGTGTTTGGGGGTCTAAATTGTATGGAAACAATTCATCTAAACTGTTGAAATCCCTTGAAATACTAAGGAATCTCACATTTTTGTCACTAGAGGGCAGAAGCTTGTCAGCTTTGAATCTAATAGAATGCAGTATCATGGCTCTTTAAACAATTTTTTAATGTTAGTGGAAGATTTGTCTCTAAAATAATATGTATTTAACTGCTTAGAGAAGTTATGTGTACAGTGTATAATAATATAGCGCTTTCATATTTGTAATTGATGTATATTTGCAAGTGAACTCAATGCTTACTCTTCCCATGTCAGTTGTCCCCTTCAGTACCTGTCATTCACTGACCAGATTTGATTTATGGTAAGGACAGAATCAGAAAGGAAGAAGCTTATTTCAAAAGAGGATGAAATTTGAAGACATTGTATAATTAATTGATATACAGCTGGCAAGTTGGTAGTACACAGCAGATCTTGGAAAGTTGCAGTCCTTCACATTGAAAAATCTATTAATTCATCTGCCAAAGTTTTGGGTCTTTTTTTTTCACTCTGACATCTGGATCAAGCACAAATCATTACGTCTTACAAAAGAGACCAGAGTACTAGAAATGTACAGATGAAGAGTGAACAGCTATTCAGGGTTTTTACATGAAAATTACTTGATCATCTTATGATATGTCTTTTTTCTTGTAGTTACGATTTTACACCAATGGATTCCTCTGCAGTTTATGTGCTAAGCAGCATGGCTCGCCAGCGTCGCGCTTCTCTATCTTGTGGAGGATCAAACAATCAAGATGCTGAGAGATCAGAATGCAGTAGTAAAAACTGTGCGTCTACTGCATCATCACATCTTTCCTCCAATTCTTTGTGCAGCAAAGCTGGCAAAAGCCACAGCTCAGGGACTGTGAGTACTGTGAGTGCCACTTCTCCAAACAAGTGCAAAAGACCAATGAATGCCTTCATGCTTTTTGCCAAAAAATACAGAGTTGAATATACTCAGATGTATCCAGGGAAAGACAACAGGTAATGATATAAAATCGTAGTTTGGTTATTACCAATGAGCTAGGAGAATATCTGTGTCCCACCTTTAAGTGGACTAGATTTTTGCATTTGAAATAAAATGGATTTATATAGTTTTAAGAATGAGTTTTGAAATATGCTGACACAAAGCTTAATTTATAGGCAGACCTTAAATATTTACAGTACTCAGTAAATTTGACACAAGCCATTTCTGGCAACTTTACCTTCTGAGAAAGCATTTGGGTGAAGCAGCTGACATATGTATATATGTGCACCAGTAGAGCCACAAATACACAACAGTCTTTGTTTACACTGATGAGAAATGTTCATGGGGAAAAAAGTACCAGGCTCTCTGCTAGTGTGTTGTAATGGAAAAAAGGGAAAAGAGAATTTCTGACTCTTCTAATTAAGTCTTGACATAATATTGCAGATTGTTCAGTGAAGTTACTATCATTTATTCTCAGTCTCTACATATTGAATAACGGAGTACTGATTGTAGCGTATCCGAAAGATCTTAATCCAAATGGTACATTGCCAAATTTTGCTTGTCCTAAAGGCATCAACAATCTGGTGAAATTTGCAGAAGGGTCGTATGACCGTGTGTTTGGGGGAGGATTCTCTGTTGGTTTGTTCTTTTGTTTTTATCTATATGCATGTTCATGTCTAAATATTTATAAAAATATTTCCATTATATATGTTTTAAGTAATATTTTGTGCTAATTGTGCATATGTAAATACAAACTAAAACACATGAACATGCACTGATCTTATAGTCAGATTTTTAAAATGTATATAACATTATGAAAACTGTTACTGTAAAAATTGTGTTGTCACATTCTAGTACTAAATATGGTAAAAGCTAAAAGTGAGAGGGTTTTGACTATTTTAGTGTTCTAGTAAGGAGACTGTAACTGGTCTTGAGAAATAAAATCCTACCATACAAATAACCCATCCTTAAATCCCAGCCAGTCTTGTGTGTCCTGGCAATGATGTTCTGCAGTGTTTATAGTCATTTCAGTGAAGCATATCTGGTGCCTCCAAGTTCATTGCAACTATTAATGAGAAATTGAACAGCATGTCAGCTAGGAAAGTTTATGATGGTTATATATTTAATTTAAAACACTGATTTCAAATGGATGCAGTGAACTGGAGCTGCAGCTGGATGGATGTGGAAATAAGTTGAGTATTTCAGCGAGCAGGTTTACCTTCAAGGAAAAGCTTGACAGAGTTACAAGTAAGCTTCGGAGTGCACTGCTCACTGTCCCATTTGGAAGGCATTTGGGTGCAGTTTCTTAACATCCATAAAATACAGTACAGAAGTAAAGAGTTAGTGATAATCGATTTTATAAACATTCAGCTACTGTTGCTTAAGTGTTGCAGGGGCATTTATTAATTGAGCTGTTCAAATGCAATTCCCATGTTTTTTGTATGTAAGTATGTGTCATTTTCAGATTACTGAGTAGATCTTACTGTTGGTTACATGTAGTACCCATTTCTGTACACTGGCATTCTTATGTTTGCTACAGTTGCTTTCATTTTCCTACACATGTAAGAAAGTGCAAAATTTGAGGTACTGTTAAGCCGCCTGTTCTGAGTTAAATGGTCTATTCTGAGACAAAGTAGCTCAAGCCGAGCCAACAAGATAGCGAGCTGTAAACATTCAAAACACAAGTCAGCATTCACATGATGCTTTAAAAATACTGTGGGCCATAAGACTGTACTTGAGAAACTGGTGTTAGGGTAACACTTGTTTCTTTTCTAGATTTTCTCACTGTGACTGTAGTTGGACTTGATTGTGCATGCAGAAATACTTGAATAATTTGAGTAGTGGAGGTTCTAAAGATGAAGAAAATCACCTAAACTATTAACAGCATTTGTTCATGCTGAACATAATTACTGAGTAAACTTGAGGCATTCTTAACTACTGTTTGACAGTTTATTTTGAACTAACAGCAGTATAAGGGATTGCATCCTGCATATCAGTCTGTTGCTAAAATGTCATTGGGTATCTTACTAGCATTTTAAGAGGACAGAGGCAATGTACGGAGACTGTGAAGCTCTGATGAGGTGAAGGGCACCTAAGGCAGTGATGCAGTAGGGTCAGTTTTTTCTTACTTGCTTCTGGTTAGGAGAATGAGGTCTCTGTTATGTCAGGAAATTTCTCTGTACGCAGCTTTTTTTCAGTCTCAGTGGTTTGCTCATAGAACTGTTTCCTTGGAGAAATAGAGCTTTTATCTCTGCATTAGATTTTTCAAGCTTTTTGAAACATACAGATCTGTCTGTCTCAGTGCAGCTTTTTCTCTGGAGGTGTAAAATACATACGCAGATTCCGTGGTGCATTTTTGTTTGGAAATGCAATGGCCTTTTCAGCAAACCTGCTCTATCTGGATCACTGTGTTTTTTTCTGGGGGTGTAAGTGACCCAGTACAAACTGGTGACCAAAACCAGACAGGTTTCTGGTGCCATTGGTTTCCCTCTGGATACTGCCAAAACCTGAAAAATCTGCTAATTAAACTGGAGTGTGTTTACTTCTGATGAGAGAGTGAAGATACTATTTCTTAATTTGGCTAGAAAACCAGGAATTCTGTTGCCGAAGAGACAGGCTGTGCAAGTGGTTTTGATGTTGATGGGATCTGCAACTTGATTTTGCTCTAAGGAGGTACCAGAGCCTGTGACAGCACAGGCTTAAGGGCAGCCCCAGTGGAGTTCTTGCCGTGCTCTCCAAGTGCTCTGCAGCTTGTGGAAGCCTGAACGATTTTGCAGGATTAAAATCTGTTTTCTTGGTATGGTGCAGAAAATCCTTCAGAATTGCTGTTAGGTGAAATGCTATGGAAGTGGTCGATGACACTCTGCTCTTCTTGATTCTTTTAGAAAGTCTGTGAATAGCTTTGCTGCCAGCAAGGAACTTGTTAAAGTACTGGGATGCACACACCTTTTTCTTAAAGCTGGTCATAGAACTTTCATCACTGTAATCTGAAGCCCAAGCATTCTGACTGAGTAGTTCAGTAATTGGCTTTGATAAGAGAGCTCTTTTTTAGAGATTTTCATTCGGCTAAAGGCTGAAGTTAAAAGTGTAATGGAATATTGATCCAGCATTTGGGAGTGCAGTTAAGCAACATGGCTTGATAATATGGGGAAATACTGTCCAAAAGACATAAATTTATAAGGAGTAGGAAAAGCAATTCATTTAGTTTCTGGAAATGATGTTAGGTGTGTCAGAAGAAATGGCTTCTTTTGCAGAGGAACGAGAACTTACCACTATGTTCCACCCAGTCGTGTTCTCCCCAGTATAGATTGTTAAAGGTAGAGGAAGCTACATGCATCTATTAAATAGACCTGAGGGTTTGCAGTGAATGAAATACTTGTTTTGCTGAGGTCATATTCAGATCATTGCCCTAATTATTAGAGAACATATTTTCAGCAAATCTGTCATATGATCTAGTATGAAAGTAGAGCATAACAAATGTGAGTTGCCATTTGGTGGTGGTTTTTCTAACATCCCCATTTTGCTGGTATATGCAGGTTGCTATGTATTCAAATGTACACCCTTTGAAATGTTAGAATGTGCATTGACCCATGCTCGGCTAACACAGAAGTCTCAGCGGTTTAGCTGTTAACTATGAGAAGATAATCAGAAACATCATTGTTTAAAAAAAATTTTTTTAAAGATACAGTTGATTTCTTCTTTGTGTATTATTTCTACATTTAACTTTTGTCTTCTTGAAAGTGCCGAGGTAAAAAAGAAAAAAATGAGGGTATTGCTTAACACCCTGTCCTGACTGCACTGTAAACATTTATCTTGCAGAGCCATAAGTGTGATACTCGGTGACAGGTGGAAGAAAATGAAAAATGAAGAGAGACGGATGTACACGCTAGAAGCCAAGGCCTTGGCGGAAGAACAGAAACGTTTAAATCCTGACTGTTGGAAACGAAAACGAACAAATTCTGTATGTTTGTGAAGCAGTCTTTTTCATTTTGCAGTTAAATGTGTTCATATGGTAGCTATGGTGGGTTTTGTTCAGGATAAAAGGCTGTCTGCTGCTTTCTTGGTAGCGCAGATCTTCATTTTACTCCCCTGCGTTGTGTAACCTGCTTTTGGACAGTTGGCAGGAGACAGATCAGGAGAGGATCTGTCTCCAAATATTTTGAGAGAATTCCATGAATTCTGCCGGACTGAAAATGAGCGTGTCTGTGAAATGCAGACGAAGGGCATGTGACCTTTTGTTTGAAGTTAACTGTGTTTATGAGGTTGTACCTAAGTTACAACTGTCCATTCCCCTCAAAAACACTTTAAACTGTCACAAAATCCTTCTCTGTTGTAATTCAGTTCCCTTTTTCTTCAGTAAAAGCATTTCTTCACCATTTTCTGTCTTTTTTACTCATAATTTGTATTAGCATTACAAGAAGTTACTGAGGGAGCAAGTTGGGTTTTTTTCCATCAATCCCTTTTATTTATTACTCTGTTTAATTGTAAAATAAATACAGTAGATAACACTTCTTCTGGAGGGAAATAAATTGTGCACTTCGTAGAAGGCCATCAATTTCAGTATCTGCAGCAATGTATTAGTAGGTGGTGGATGTATTAGGTACGATGAGGGCTTTCAAGCTAATACATCATATAAAGAGAACATCAGAAAAATGAGATTCTGCCAACCTGCTTGTTCAGCTAGAAGAGCAGGTTGGAAGGAATGATCAATGAGGTGCACAGAATGCCAGATCATTTTGTCAGCCATTTTATGCCTGGGTAGGAGCATTGAGTGTGATGTGGACCTCAGAGGTTTAAGACTTCATCCTCAAATTACCCCCTTCCCTTTCATGTGTAAATGAGACTACTGTCTCAAGACCATATGCAAGTGTTGCCTTAAGACTGAATAAGAAATGGTCCAACACTCAGTTGCTTCTTATTGCTGTACATACAATGCTGTTTCCAGTCCCTTGTTGCAGAAGGTTTCACCAAATCCCAGCTGCTAGGAACAAGCTGTTTTTCTGTTCACTGTATTCTATTTTAATCAACAGTGACAGCTTCTGTTAGATTTCCTTGTGGGTTTAGTTAATAATATTTAATTAAATAATATTATTTATTTATTCTGCTTTTACACTACGGCAGTCTTGGGCATCGGATGGTTCACTTCACATGTGCACCTGTGAGCTTGATGGAGCTCAGTGCGGGTGTTTGCGTGTCACTGAGAGGAAGAGTGGCGGGCTGGCTGCAGTGGGACTTTTCCTTGTATCTTCAGGCCAAGATAACAGTATCTATAGAACCTGTTACCTCAGTGTTGTAACAGGAGATGCAGGAAACAGCTTTTTAAATTTATTTCAGTGAACTGAGGATTTTGTTCTCAGCTTGGTTACCTTATCAGGCAGTGATGGCAGACTCCAGGCTGTGGCAAAAGTCTTGATGGTCTTTTGTTGATCAGGAGACACATTAATGTGGTTTGTCCATTTGTTTTCTTCTGAATAACTGACCAATGATGACAAGTACTTGTGGCTTTCATAAAAAGTGTTTGCTAGATTTAAGATAAAGTCTGCTTCCCCTTTGCTTGGTAACTGCTAATCTGGTTCTTCTCTTTTCTCAGGGCTCACAACAGCATTAAGCCAGAATTTTCCTGTTAACTCTGTATTTACAAAATGGCTGTTGCTTGACGGCAAGAAGATGATGCAAGATCGAGGTCTTAAGATTTGTTGTGACTTAGCATGACCATAAAATACTGGCACCATCGAGCTGGAAATGATCTAATAAGAGTGCAGATTTGCTTTTTACAATAGAACATTAAGTAAGCTAAAACTATCAACATTTTAAACCAAATTGCCTTATTTTTCTTCCAGACTTCATATACGTATCAGGTAATATAGGCTTGAAAATGGATATCCTGTGGTGCTAAAGTACTTTAGAAAGAGGCGAAGGAGATGTGTATAAATGTTTATTTTTAAAAGAAAATGTACAAAAAGGGGAATTTTAGAATATGTAACAGCTGTTTATATACATTGATTCTTATTGCTGATTACTATCTATTGCACAGTCATATTATTAATTACGATTCTGGGGCCTGGGATTTTCTGAAATGGCAAAATGTATTATCAGCCTCTAGCTCCCCAGCCTGCCCCGATGCCAAGAAGTTTCCGAACGTGTGGTAAAGGGAGAGCTAGTGTAATGTAGCAGGGGAGCTGCTTCTTGGGTGGCCATGTGTAACCTTTGTATCCACAAGTGAGGTATTTTTGCACCAGCTGGCACTAGTGAGAGCTGTTATTTCTGGTGGAAACAATGGCCCAGGACAGGATGAAATGAATAAATAGCGTTATCTCAAGAAAAATGGTGCTGTTGATATTGTCACCATCGTAGTTTTATAACTCTGTGTTTTGTCTTTGCCACATATTCTACAACATTTTATTTTGCCATAAGACATCTTTATGGTGGGGGCAAACTTTGCACTTAACTATACGTGCAACACTTGCACTTTACTTTGTTTTTCCTCCAACTGTCTAAAATTAGAGCAGCTGCATTAGGATTACAACTGCTTCTGCTGTGAACTTTTACAATCATGGCTTTTCATGTACTAAACAGCTGTGTGTTTCTTTTTTTTTTTTTTTAGAATCACAACTGTAAATTTCAGTTTATGACACATGTCTACATGATGTTGCCCCTAAGATTTTTGCACAGTATATTCTTGTATATTATTTCAAATAAATCCATTAAAATTTGGTGTTGTGTATTTTGTAAAATGAAGACGACTAATCCCTGCAGCGATGAGCGCATTCTGCATGGAAGTCTTTACATTAACTAGTCCAAAATATATTTTGATGCTTTGCAGTTAGGAAGTTGAAGAATTTCAGATGCTGAATTCAGGATTGAATAGTCAGTGATGTTCTTTATTACAGTTTAAGCAAAAAGAGAGTTGAAATCAGTATAAATCATTTCAAAGCAAACAGCAGTTCAATAATCATTTATGTTACTTACAAATATTTTTCCTTGTGTTAAAATCAGTGATATTTAGATGGAAACTGATGATTCTAGTGTTTGAAAAGCACAGTTTTCTGAATAAGGCTAAAATGTATCCAACTGTTCAAAACTGTACTTGTAGGAAAAGAGCTACTTCCTTCTTTGAGATACTCAGTTATACTGTAATATTTGAGTGTGTTCTAATTTTATACCTTTCTAAAAATGATTGCTAAAGAATTATTTTTTATTAGATGTAGACTTACAGCACATAAAAATTGTACAATTTCCTTATACACAAATTCAAACATAAAGCAAAAAGAAATTTAATGGATGAAGTAGGTAAACACATTTTGTTGTAAAACTGAGGTACGTGGGAATGATTTACATGAACCATATCTGTGGCACCAAGGATGCAGGGCTGCATTACTGTCTGCTCCCGGTGTTGCTGTCCACACACACTCACTGAAGGGTTGACATTGCTTTCTGCAGCAGCTGAACCATTATGGGATAGACTGGTGCAAACTCCTTCCCCTCTCTTGTTCTTACTGATTGAACGTAAGCTTCCAGTGCACCGCTAAAAAAAAAAAAAAAAAAAGCAATTAAATAGCATACAAATATTGTATGTTCAGGAACTGAAGTTAATCAACTACAGAATTTTCCTCAGGTGATCTTACATGTCTCTCTGGAAGGGGGAGGGGCAAGAAAGGCCTTACAAAGCTACATAAATTGTTTCATGATCTTTCTCTCCTTTCTTGCATGTTTTGAGGAGCGAACAAGTTAACATTTAAATAAGCAGCAGCAGCATGTTGCAGATGGCTTGAAATGACAGCTCTGACGCACAGACTTGGGCACATTGCTGTACTGGTAACCTTTAGAGACGAAAAGAATAGATTCCAGCTGCTGCAGACGTGAAGGGTACAACTTACAGAATGAAAACTGGGGCACTGGTGAACAACTAAGATGCCTTCAGGTGATTTTCTGGCTGAGTCTTTTAAACTGCAGCTGTCCTTTGGGAAATGCTGAGCTGACCCACAGACAAAGCGTATGTGCGCGTCGGTACGTGTCTGCTGTGTTTTTCTTACACGTTGTCGTAGGAGGGCACACACAGAAGTACTCTTGTGTGATTTACACAGATTCAAAGCTAAGAGGGGCAACTGTGATTACGTACTTGTCTGTACATAATTTAACTTGCATTACAACACAGCCACCTTTCATCCAACTATTCTAGTAAATAGTATTGTTGAATGACAACATATCTATAAAACAAAGACTGTAAATGCTGATCTGTTCAAATGCCAACTTAATAGTTCATTAAGTGAGCCGAGTTAGCTTTGCCATACTTAAATATGGCTTCTAATACTGATTTTCCTCCCTTTTCTATTTCTTCCTGTAATAGGTACAACAATCTTGGGCTTTCCTTCTAAAACTTTATATTAGGTTCCATTGGTGCTACTAACAGCAAAATTGTGATATTAAAGAAAACACACACACAAACAACAGACCCCATTTCAAGTGGGGACTAAGAGAACTCCTGGCTGCAGCAGGCAGGCTGTTGCCACGGGCCATCCCACGGGGCGGTGGGTCCTGCAGGTGACACGGAGCAGTGGGGCTGAAATCACCACTCTGGGTCACGGAGCAGGGAAGCGGTCCCAGGGGGCTGTCTGTCTCCTGCACTCCTTTGTGGAGGCACCGGTGACACCAGCATGGCTGTTCTGCCAGTGAGGGGTTGTGGTAAGGTGCAGGAACATGCCCAGTCCCACGGAGGGAAGGTAGGTGGTGGCCATGCACACCTGGTGGTGGGGCGGCACAGGGTTCGAGATGGAACTCGGAGCAAGTGCAGTGTCTTGCCTATAAACACACATCAGCTGCTGCAGGATGGTGGGCTGGGCCAAGGCAGAGCTGTGTTTGTGTTTGCTGCTACTTCCAACAGACAAACTTGTGGTGAAATACTGCCCCATCCTAGCTACCGTGAAGGAAATTACCCCAGACAAAATCAGCACACTGCACAAAGAGTTCGGGGGATGTAAGGCAGCACTGCTTACCAACCCATCCGTGCCTGCTGGCACCTGGAGGTGCTAGGCAGTACATAGGCATTTAATTAGGCAAGGCTTAAGGACAGCAGAAACACTAAAGAGTGAGACAGCCTCTGTTTCACACACACATACAGGCTCCTCCTGGAGTGAGGTGATGAGAGAAGAGGGGCCAAGATCCCTGTGTGATGCTGCAGCACTGGGAAGCTACAGCCAAGCCTGGCAAACCAGAGGCGATGGCAGAAGAAGTGGGGCTGTAACACACTTTGCTGCCTGTCAGTAAAGCTAGTGCTAAACCAGCAAGGGCTTTCAACTTCCTAAACAAAAACTAAATCCCACCTATGTCAGAGTGCTGCTGGGAATGTCCAGCAAAGGTCATTTATTAGTGGGCAATGCTCCTGAGGCCAAGAGCCTGCACTCAATTTGCTGGAGAGATGAGCCTGAGCTTTGGGTTCTGAGAAGCCAGTGGCAGCGATGGCAGCCTGGCCCTGCGAGCAGGTCCTGGGGCTGCACCCGCTCCTGCCAGCAGTGCTCCTCCCCACAAAGCCAGGCGCTGATCTGTAAGCCTCACTGCCACAGTGCAACGGGAGGAGCTGCGTGTCCACACATAGCAGATGCTCACATGTGCAGTCAGTCCCTGGCCTGTTGCTAATGGAGTTTGACAGGGAGAGAGTGAAGCGTGCAACTGTGCAACCAAGGAACCCGAGGCAGCTTTCATTCTGAGCACAGGACAGGAATGAAACACGGGCACGAGGTGATGCCCACCATGCACCACAGCTCCCAACATCCCCCCACAGGACTTGAGACTCCCTCTGCTGAAGCCCAAAGCACAGTCTAAGACTGAGGTGATGCAAAAGGAGGATGGACTGGATTACAGGAGATTTGAGAGGCTTCAGAAGAATAAAGGGACTGAGCACAGGAACAGTTCCTCATGTTGGCCTGGATGCACTGAGAGCTCTTCAATTTTGATAACTTACTAGTGAGTTATGCTGAGGGGTCCACACCAGGTACCAACACACTCTGAAGAGTCACTTTGCATTTTTTGCACATCAACAAACAGCAAGAGAAAAGTTTTTCCCTGTTACAGGCAGGGAAAGAATATTCATTTATCTAGCCAAAATGAAGGTGACTTTTTCCACTTGGTCAGGTCCCTGAAAACCTTCCACCTGCTCTTCCCAATGGCCTCTGGTGAGCAGCACAAGGTCTACAGGGAAAGAGGTAACAACCAAAAAACTGCTTGCTGCAGCCACAAAGTACTTCGGGTGCAGCTCATCTCACTCCCAGCAAAGGCCATCAGCATGACGGACTGCAGAGAGATCAGGCACATCTGCAGGTAAGTTTTAAATCCCAGGATTTAAAAAGAGGTGAGATGGGGGAAAGGGACAGCAGGTGAGTGTGCTTTTAATAATAAACTGGCCTCTTGTGGCAATAAGGGGCAGAGCATGTGATGAGCAGACTGAGCAGCAGGTGGGAGATGCAGGCAGGGAAGGCTCACAGATCCCATCAAGATGAGGGGAAATGCTTCAGAACAGTCAGATGTGTCTCACATTTCCACTCGGGTCAGTGCTCAAGTGCTCTGGTCAGCAGCAATCATTAAACACATTAGATGTTAGTTACCTTCCACAAAGAAAAGTCCCTTGTATGAAAAACACGGTTGAGAAACTCCCATGACAGTTTTCTTAATGTAACTGTTACTCATCTTGCTGAATCTCTCCCCTTCCACTCAGCAGTGTCCCTGTCTTTTCCTCTATACACTCCCCAAAGTTTTGGGGCCCAAATAGTTTTTAGAAGTCATCAAAGCTGAAAATAGAAAAAAACATATTGATCTGCTTAAGTTAGAAAGCTCTGACACCTCTTGGTGAAGCTGTGGGTTGGCATCATTATCCAGATGGTAACACTGCTATCCCTTTCTGACTTTATCTCCTTGCTTTGAAAAAGCCCTTGAAAAAGATGACAGAGATAACCAGATCCCTTCAGATGAAAGGGAAGCTTTACCCTAAAAGCAGCACCCAAACCCACTCAATGTCAGCCCTTGATAATCCTTAGCCAGACTTAAGTTATTCCCATCAGATCAAACAAGAAGGAATGAGATTTAGGCTACGCTAAGTGCCAAACACCAGTATTATAGTCCTGCTGTCACACCTTTCAACAGCTTTTATCTTTTTTCCTTCTTTCCTGCCTCAACAGAATCTAACTGGCAAAACATCAGGGGCAGCCACTGTCCTCTTACAACTCAAAGGGCAGCTAAAAGGAACTTGACAAATTGTTTGGTGGCCTCAGAACTGCCCAGACCCTTCTTCCCAGCAGAGAACAACAGCTTGACAGAAGTTGATCTTTGTCAGCTCTCCTCTGCTGTGCTCACTTTTACTGTGGCTTTGCTTGTGTTGTTTCAAAGAGATGGAGTCAAACTTCATCAATATGACGAAACCAGGAGCATCTTAACTATC